CACACACACACACACACACACACACACACACACACACACACACAAAGCCCATAGTAAAAAAAAAAAAAGACTACACACTTTTACTTTCTACTATTAAAACTTGAAATATATACTACGTTGGCTGGTTTGTGTAGACGTTTGTTTTTCCTATTTGATTTTGTGTTTACAACTGGTGAAATACCAAAATGGTGTCTAATCATATATTAAAGGAAATACCTTTTGGGTTTTTTGTCAATGTGTAGAAGTTAAAACATTTTCACAGGTTTGCTAGAAGAGACACAAATTTTTGCTCCTAGATTACAAATTTCACTCATCTGTAGTTTCCTCAGATTTTGTCCCTCATGAACCCCTGTCCTGTTTTGAACATGTTTTTTCACACAGGTCGTATCACCAAGATCTTCATCTCCCATCTTCACGGCGATCACCTYTTCGGTTTGCCTGGCCTCCTTTGTACCGTGAGTCTCAACAGCAACGCCGACCCTCAGCAGAACCTGAACTGTGTGGAGCTCTATGGGCCCCGGGGCCTCAGGAAGTTTCTCAGGGTGACACTTGGACTCTCGGGATCTCAGCTTCTCTTCCCATATGCAGGCAGGTTCAGTACCACGTGTGCACTTCTGAGGGGTCAAACATACATGACAGGATGCTCTGTAGACAGTGGTCAAGATTCTGACACCATTATCCTTTTCCTGAAGAAAACTGGAATGTTCTTTGCATTTAGACTATAGTTTGGGGGGGGGTGGAATGATTCTTTCCTATACCAATTATAGAACCTCAAAGAAAATCAAGTATAAGAAAACCATTCAGACAAATACTAGAGTGTGCACCCATTAGAAAATATGTCTAAATAAAATAACTTGTCATCTGTAACTAAAAATATAAATGCATAGTCTTAGTATTTGTTATAACTGTTTTTATTTGCTGTGTTTTACCCAGATATCACCATTAAGGTTTTTTTTTACTCTTTATTTTTGTTGAATAATCCTTTAGGCCAGGGCTATTCAACTGGCAGCCCCCCGCGAGTGACCAAAATTCGGCCCGCCAATTGGTTCACTCATCTCTTAAGCTCAAACTTCCAGTTTTCTACTTTAATTAGTTTAAGTTGTTTTAGTTAGACACAGACATGTTTCATATCTACAGAACTGTCAGAGTCTTGGCTACAAGCTGGTAAAAACCATTTCTATGCACACTAAAGACAGTTAAAATGGCAAGCAGTTGAAGGTAAAACTATCAAAGTGAAAATAAAATTGGTTTAAAAAATTTGGCAAGTCAGAGATGTCAAAATAATATTTGTGTCAAATAGGGGGTATAATGTGTTCTTTTTGTTTTTGATATTGTTCATTTATCACTACGTATATAGGGTTCTGTATGTTGTAATCATGATTAAATGCAGGAAAATAAACTATTAAGGTAACAGATCTTTGTAATACTTGGTTTATTTACATAATAAATTGAATTGCTGGATGTTCGGCCCCTGAGCTGCTGACCTGCAGTAACTGTGGCCCCCGGAGCAGTTTAGTTGAATGGCCCTGCTTTAGGCTCTGTGCGCTGAATTGTCCTCTTTTGCTCTTTTGTATGTTGTAGTTCATGAACTGGAACCAACAACAGACCAGTGTCCAGAGGAGGGACAGCTGAGCCAGGAGGTAGCCAGTTAAGATCTTTTAGCTTTACTTTTTAAAAATGTTCTTTCATCCATCTAGTTAGTTTATATATATACAGTATATATATATATATATATATATACTTTTGCGTAATAACTATTTTACAGAACATCGTTGTTTCGTTGTATTGTGTGTGCCCATGCTTTAATTTTTCACGTTTCAAGTTCTGATGTTCATCCTGTCTGTGTCCCACCAGCTGACAGCAGACAGTGGTCCTCTTCATCCTCAGGAGCAGCCAGGCAGGACGATCCCCTTAGATGTCATCAGTGACTCCTATCTGCTTTTGGAAGATAAGAAGTTTATCGTCAAGGCCTTCAGATTGTTTCACCGCATTCCTTCTTTTGGGTTTTGCATCCAAGAGCACGATCGGCCCGGGAGACTGAAAACAGAACTACTGAAGGAACTAGGTAAAATAAATACATAACCTATACCTTTTTTTTTTTTTCATTGAGTTTTTTTAATAAATAAAAATGCAAGTAAAACTGTTGCCATAAACAAACAAAATAAATAGATATAAATTTAAGTTTGCTGATATAGGTTGTCTTAATTTGTAGGGCTGTGTATTGGCAAGAATTTGGCGATATAATACATATCATGACAGAGGGGTCACGATACGATATATCGCGATATATTGCGATTTTTTTGTCCAAAAATTCTATTAAATAAAAACCTCTTACAGGGGAAAAAATGAAAAACCAAAATTCATTGTCTCAGAAAATTCTAATATTACATAGACATACTTTTGACACATTTAGCTGTGTTCTGCTTTGTATGTATTTTATTTTATTTTTTTCATATTTCTTATTTCATCCATGTTTTCAATTATTAGACTAAATTTGACAATAGTTTGAAAATATATTTTTTGCAGCTTTTAGTTTTAATATTAATTTACAATATGGTCACCCAACACTTAACAATAGCCTCTACCTCAAGAGGTAGAGGAGCCAAATGGCTGGCTCACTGCTGCCWACTAGTGGTCAGAGGCTGAACRACAACATAAAAATGAACGGCTGGCAGGAAAGTTGACATTTTAAACCTTAATAAAAAAATCAATACAGGGCTTTAGAATATCGATACAGTATCAGGAAATGAAATATCGCGATATTTCAGTGTATCGATATTTTCTTACACCCCTATTAATTTGTAATGTTTATTTTGTAAACTCAGCACTAAAGGATGTGATTTGATTCTACTACGGAATGTTTTGCTCTTCACTATTTTAGAAAAGGTGTCCTTGTGAATACAAAACCCAGTGATTGGTCTCATTTTGTGCACCTCAGGCCTGAAACCTGGACCTCAATATGGACGTCTCAAAGCTGGCGAGTCTATAGTTCTTGAAAATGGACGCTTGGTACTTCCCAGTGARGTYTTGGAGGAAACCATCCCTGGGAGGAAGGTYTGCATTCTAGGGGACTGCACCTCAGTTCTTGGGAAAGAACCGTTGCGGATGTGCAGCGGAGCGGACGTTCTGGTTCACGAGGCCACCCTTGGGAACGAGCACAGGGAGCGAGCGATGGAGCACGGACACAGCACACCTGCGATGGCAGCGGCCGTGGCTCGGGCTTGCTGCGCGCGGAGGCTGGTCTTGTATCACTTCAGCCAGCGGTACAAGCCCAACTCGCTGCAGAAGGATGGAGARGAGGACGTGTCGGAGCTGAAGAGGCAGGCTGAGGAAGAGCTTCAGGACGGCAGAGTAGAGGTGATTCTAGCTGAAGACTTTATGACTGTACCCATTCCTCTCAGAAGACAGAAGTCCTGAACCAATTTAGAATTTGATTGTGGAAATTTTCAAATATTTTTACCTGGTTGAGATTTAATTTTACATATTTGTCTCAATATTTTCCCAACATTTACTACATATTAAAGGCACAGTGTGTAGGATTTTGTCAATTCTTTTAGCAAAATTGAAATAATCACTAATGACAATAATGAAAAACATGTCTAATCATTGCAGACAAAGACCTTGTTTTATTATTTTTACCTTTATAAAAAGCTGTTTATATCTCCATGGTCGCGGGCCGCCACTACAGGCAGCTGCCATCTTGCACCGTCATCTTGTCTACGAAGGCTCATGAAGGACAAACTGCGGTGGCGGCGTCAAAAACTGTTTTAGTTGTAATACTATAAACAGGGGTGGAAATTAGCACCCGCCACTGGACAAATGCGGGTAAAATTATGAAGTGGCGTGTAGATCTGAACAACGCACCCGCCACCGTGGCGGGTGTGTAATGAACTAAAAATAAATAAATAATTAAAATGCGTTCAAATCGCACTACTGACTTTTGTCAAAACCTCAGTTTCGTTTTTGTTTTGCATTTCAGAGCCTGTAGGACGTTAAAAAACATTAAATAACATCAAACAAACCCGCTCTGCAGCTAGAAATAAGTTCTCCCCTCCTCTCCTGCGCACTGTCATCTGTGGTCCGCCTGCCCGCTCCCCAATCACCCCTCCCCCTCCAGTTTTTTTAATTTTTTTACAATAATTGGAAAGGGGAAAAACGGACAATAGTGAATTTAACAGGGCAGTCAATTTGGTTTCATCTGTCAGCAAACAGAAAAGCTGAACTGTAGGCTGGCAACAAGAGCAAAAACCTGAAATCAGCTGATTAAAAACACTTTCTAACTGCTAATGTGTGAATATTACATAAATGTTAGTTTAAAAACATATTAGTTGTTTTAACTCTAATATATTTAATATATTTATTTAACAATATTTTAACTCAATAACCATGATCACTTTGATTGGCCAATAGAAACTTAAGGAAACACTGTTTTTTAATCTCTAGGAAAGGTCTGAAGATCAGCTGACAGCTCCAATAAATAAATAAATAATCTGCTCCTTCTTTTCCCTTAACTTTTCTCTGCAGGCTATTTTTGGATGCAGAACAAAACAAAAACCCAGGCAAACTAAGTAACAAAATGAACCTTGTGACATGAATCTTTTCAAAAATAAAAATAGAAATGATCCACTCTGAGACAATGGATCATTTAGAGGGATTTCCATCTGTTGTTGAAATCTCACTTAGAACAGAAGACACATATTCACACTAGTAGCCTGAAGAACAAAAACTACAAGTGATAAAATTCAAAGGCTTTTATTAAATGAAGGAGATAAATTTACTTCAAGTAATTTAGTTTTTTCACCTTGAAAATTTCTCCTATATTATTAAGGTTAAAAAGCTTTTTTTCCAGCCAAGTAGCCCACCTAAAACAATTGGTATTCCACCTACATACCAGCAAAAAGCAAGTTAGTAAGAGAAGTCGAGACATCAAAAAGTCCATCATTTTAATTTTGTTAAACAGGCTGGTTTGAATACTGTAAGACACTAATAGATTTTGAGTGGCCGGTAAAAAGTTTGAGTGGCCAGTACAAAACATTTTCTACCAGCCACTGTGGCTGGTGGGGAAAATTTTTAATTCCCACCCCTGACTATAAATGTAATATTTGTTGTCTGTCATTGTAGCTGGGATAATTTGACTTATTAAAGCTCATAATCTTACCACTTGAAACATCACTAGCCCTGAAGCTGCTGGTAGACATCGVGGTTGGAATTATCAAAGGTTTTTGACACCTGAGAGACACTGTAGCAACCCATTCTTTGGGTGGGGGTGGGGGGAGGACCAGGGAGGATGATTCAAACACTCAACCACTAGATGTTGCTGAAAACAACAAATCCTACACACTGTGCCTTTAACATAAATGTGCTCAAGTTTTAGAAAATCGTTGTTCACGCCTAGCTTTGAGCCCATTTCCTGTCTCCTGTACCTCAACTTGAGTGTTTCAAACTAATCAAAAAGTAGAGATTTTTTAAAAATCTGTAAGAATTATGAGCTGATGGTTTTATGGCAAAGTGATATAATGCATATTCCTGACAAATTGTAAAAATGTAATTAGAAGTATTCTAAACTGCTTAATGATTTGATAAAGGTGACAGGTAACGCACTAGTCTTTTATATATTTTTTTCACACAAATCACTGTCTAATCAAAAAAGGACATGCAATCATCTTAGAACCTTTTCCAGAGCTTTATTTCTGGATCTGTACACAAGGTATTAAAGAACAACAGAAAATACAAAATAATGTTTAACAAAAGAAAAAAAAAACAGCAATGTTTATTTACATTTCTTATAAACAATAAAGATAGCTTCTCGGACATTTCTCATAGTGAAGTTTTTGATTGTCTATATTCTGGATATACATTTTTACGTTTTTGTATGCACAGAGGTGTTTTATTTTTTTTGTTTGTTTTGTTTTTCAAAGGACTTGAGTTTTTGTCTCAAAACCACAACTGCTATATTTTTTTTAAAACCTCTAAACACAATACAAAATATAAAATAAATTTGTTTCGTGCTTTCCTGCACACACAAGTCTCCTATCAATAAAATATCACATTTGAGTTCACAGGGTGGTGAGAACCTACTTGTACTACTTAATGGCCTTTACATTCTGACAGTTTTCTTAGTCTTTGTACAAACCACAGGTGAAATAAATATCACTGCACTGCTAAAGCTAGAAGAGCTTGGAGAACCTACTGCATTACGCACATTGCATTAAAAGAGAAACTAGCTCTCCACAGAGCAGCAGCCTTCCTTTTACCATCGAGACAAATATAGACAACATGTAAAAAAGGATTTTTTTTCCCAAGAAAAGAAAGATGGGTGTCTTTTACACATGGCTGCAAATCTCAAAATCCCAACATTAATATCAATACATGTTTAGGTAAAGCCGTTTTTCAGTGAAAGACTGGCGCAGCTGGCATGCGTGGTTTCAGCTGCGTCCTGGTATTTGGGGCGGGGGAATCATGACTGCCCAAAGAAAAAAATAAAAATTTAAACACCAAGTCAAAACGGCAAAATGCAAAAACCTCGAACGTCTGTACATATCTACAAATTATTGCCTTTCTGCCAAAGAATTGAATGGAAACCTTTGTATCGACACCAATTCACAAGTGTAAGAGGTCAGTTATAGACTTTTTAAAGGCTATTTGCTAGTTATTTACATGAAATGCAGAAGTGAATAATATGCTCTAGGTTGCTGGGCTAGTAAACCGTTACATGATCAACTTAATGATGCTCTGGTCTTTACAAATACATGATGGTAAAGTACTACGTGCTAAGGACACGACAAACATGATGTACCCCTGAAACAAACTAAATACTCAAAGCACAATGCATAGATAATTTAAGTAAACACTACTACTGCATCCAACAAACTGACGCTGATCCGCTCAACATGTTCCAATTATGGAAGTTCAGTCAAGCAATAATAACTCTTCATTTCTGCTACTAGTTTCATAAGAAATTGTCAACCAGTCTTGAAAAGGCATCTCGTCAGTACAGGCTAAGTAGAGGTTAAATACAAAAAAATCAGAGCGGCTTTAAATAAATATAATACTACTAGGAGGTATATAAAAGCTTGCTAGTTGACAAAAAATAAAATAAAAGAACTACTACATCTTAAAGCAACAATTAAGACAAAGCTAAACTTGCCTAAGAGCAGCATGAGTGAGAGAATAAACTCATAGAAAAAGGATTAAATTAGGTTTTAAAAAGGTAAAAATAAATTCAATAAATACAATTATACTGTCAGTGTTTAGATGGCTATTAACCCAACCCAAAACCTTTTGCACTGATATATTGCTGTTACAGTTTGCCCCTAGATTGTAAAACAAGGTGAAAAAAGCAAAAGTGAAGTCTGCAGATTGACTCATCGCTTGTTCAGAAGCAGAAAGGTAAAAACAATACATCAAGGCTGGGAATTTGACTACATGGGATAAAAATAATAATAAACCTAGTTCAAAATTCACATCTTATAGCTGTTAAGCTAAAACGAAAAAACTCATATAGGCAAAGAGCAAGCTTGTGTGGGAGAAAAATCAGAATGAACACCAAACAGGAGGGTCTGTGCAGCAAAAAAAAAAAAAAGACACCTCCTGACGTTTGAGCTCCTCTCCAAGCTAGTGTTGCTCATTATGTACCCAAAGGATTTTAGGGAAAAGAAAAAAAAAAAAATCGGCACTAATCTGGTAAGGGAAAGTACCTGTAAACCAAACTTCAATTTAAAGAAGTACCACAACAAACAATAAACGCAGGCAACTAACTGCTAACACTAAAGAGGCAGAAAATTCATTTTGGCAGCTGAAACGAATGGCAGGATAACAGATTACAGCTCTGAGGATGTGTGGAAGGGAGGAAGATTCATAACTCTCCTACTGCAGCTTCTGGGCCCCTCTGTACACGGACGTTACACATCTCAAAACACAAACYAAAAAATAAAATAAATGGCTATATAAACTCTTGAGAGAAATCAAGATTTTAGTTCTATATGATAGACATCACTGATGTCATATTACACAAAAAATGAAAACAAAAAGTAATTTCATATACATATATATAGCTATATATATATAATTGAATTTAAACAAATCAGATTTTCCAGTGAGATCAGTCTTATGTACAAGCAGAAAAAAATGGTTTTAAAAGGGAAGATCGGAGGAAGAAGAGGAGGAAGATCACTCTGACTGAAGTGCTGCAGTATGCTGCGTGTGGTGCCGCGCGTGTGCTCCGAGGAACCCGTTGGGCTCGCCGCTGCCAGCTAAGCTCCCAAAGTCCGTGACAGACACGGCCATTTTAGCGCCGGTGATTCGATGGTGATGRGTCGTCGTCCGCCGCGTTTCGAAGTCCACGCCGAGGTTCGCGACAGAYACGTCGCCGATGAAGGAGTCGGGCAGTGTCATTTTGAGTCTCTTGGAGGGACGCTCGCAGTCCTTGCCGACGCACACTCCTCCGAGCTGGCCCAGGTCCGAGTGGTAGAAGCCGGCGTCGAGCATGTTGAGGCAGTCGGRGTCTGCGCCGTTCGAAGGGAACCCGAGGGACTCGTCGTGGTTCAGGGATCCACGGTGGAGACTTTCCAGAGGAGGGAAGCTGTAGGAGTCCAAGCAGCTCACCTCTGCAGGTGTGCATACTGTAGCTACGGTGTTGCTTAAAGCTGAAACAACAACAAATAATTGACTATTACAAAAAAACAATAACTGATTATTATTTTCCGTCACTTTAAAGCCAGTCTCATTCGAACCTGTGAGGTCGCTGGCAGTGATGGAGTTCAGCAGACTGAGCTGTTCTGTAGTGGTCTCCATCCTCCCTCCTCCACCTGCTCCTGAACACACAGAGGACGAGCTGCTGTCCACCGCCAGTCCTTCTGCTTCATCCACCAGCCGGTCCATCAGGTCCCTGCAAATGAACACGTTTTTGTTTCCATCTACCTTGTTCTCATCTGTCCGTGTTTAAACATTCACTGACATGACTCTACGCAAACTCTTCCCGGCACTTACGTTACACCAGGATAGCTGCTGTACTTTTTCTTCCCGAACCGATTCTGCTGTACAAAGACGTCGAAGCGCTCCGACTTCTTCCACATGTAATAAAACGCTACGCATTCTGCTACTGTTCGTGTTGTGACCTGAGGGGGACAAACAAAGAAATGGTTAATAGACAGGAAGTCGTCACGTTTGTACACGTACTTTTATGCTTGTAAAAAWTTTTTAAACGAGACTCACTTTGTGTTTCTGAATGAGATGAAAGTTCTTGTCGTACATCTGCAGAGCGTGTTCAAAGTTCTTGCATTCCTCCTCGGACCARGGAGGGGATTTATCTAAAATGAAAATGTGAAAAACGTGAGTTTAGTTTAAAATGAAATCCAGTCTAAACAAAAAAGCACAAATATACACATTGTGCTGCTAAAAGTGGAAATCTGGATAATATATACTAACTTCTCTGGAACACTTTGAATATTTGGACATTTATTAATTCTATTTGATGAGAACAGTAGCACTTGATATAAGAACATAATAGTTTTCCGTCATGATTGTTTCTTACCTTTTGAGGTCTTAAAACGACTGCAGTATCTTTCTAGTGCTTCACGGGTGTTGTAGTTGCTTCTCACAAGCTCATATAAAGCCTAAATGGGGAAATAAGTATTGGACAAAAGACTTAAGAGCACATTAAAAACTATAACTTAAAGACATGTTAGAACAACTTTGTGACAACCTGAGATGTTGGAAAAGAAACAATCCTACAGGTTTACCAACCACCTACTGATCGATTTCTTAACACTAGAAAAGGCTTGATGAATGAAAATATGACTTACRTGTTCATCGTCTCGAACATGCGCCCCTGGTTTGTCATATCCTGTCCTTTCATCTGTTATCCGCACCAATACTTCAGAGAGGAAACTCCTAACTTTATTTTCTGACAGTTCATCTGGGCTCCATAGTAACTCGTCTTCATCTTCATACACTGTTTGGAACAGTACAGGAGTAGAGTTTACACAAGGTTCCCATAATATCTTGGGTTCATTCAATTAAAGGCTAACATGAAAGGTAAAAAGCAGCAGTTCACCTTTCTCTCCATCTTTGTAGTGGCAGAGACAAGAAGGAACATCTGCTTGGTACTCTGTTCCCACCATGATTTCCTAAAACAGATAAACACCAGTATGGTTAAAGCAAAAACTAAATATTGTTCAATGTAAAACATCACGTAATATTTATCCCTCTTTAATTAATTTGTAATAAATATATTTACCTTTCTGGAGTCTTCTGGACTTGGGCCAAGTTCATCACACTCCGACTCTTTGTCACCATCAGAAATAGTATTAGCTGAAGAAGAAGAAAAAAGACACTTTAAGAACCTGCCGATTAGGGCTGCAGCGATTAATCGACAACTAATCGATTATTAAAATAATCGATGACTAATTTAATAATCGATTAATCGTTTTCTTTTTTTTTTTTCTTTTTTGTTCTTTACTTTGTTTTTCTCTCCAAACTGCTTTGACACATTCCACTGCCACATCTGCCTTTCTGTCCTTGACACACATGCACAGTAGTGGTAACTGGGGTAGGCCGTGGACGTCACAAGACATTATACAGACAGGCTCTGGTATCATGGCTACCTGACAACGGAGCTCAAAAGTGTGGGATCATTTTAAGAAAATGAAAGAGAAACCTGTGCAATATCTGCAGAGCAGAACTTACCTTCCACAGCAATTATTTTAGTTAGCATATAGCTAAAATCTAATGATGGTTATATAATAGCAGCTGCATTCTGACGTGATAAGCTCTATGTTTTACATTCAATTAACATATGATCTGATTAGTCGACTAATCGAAAAAAATTATCGGTGATTAATCGATTATAAAAATAACCGTTTGTGGCAGCCRTAGGGTCAAACAATGTTTTAGTCAAACAGAACCAACAAGAATGAAACAAAAAGTAAAGAATTAAAGAAAAAAATAAATATTAAATGTAAATAAATTCTAATTATAATAAATTAATAATAGTTTTACATCTAAAAATCATATTTTATTATTTTAATCTATTTTCCTCATTCAGCAACCTATTGAATTTCTGTTATGTTTCATGTAGGAGATATACACATTTTTTTCAGTCAGTATTTAATACAGCTGGCAAAATAAATTGTTAAAATATGTATGATGTGCTTCTGTTCATTTAATTCAGGAGATTATAAAAAAAATCCTTCATTTTATGGGAAGACCCTCTTGATTCAAGAGAAAACTCAGTTTTTTTTTAAAAAAAAATGGCTGCTTATTAATTAATTGTTAATCAATCTATAAGATAAATCAACTTCAGATTAATTCATTATCAATAACTTGCATCCTTAAGGAGTTAACTTAATTTATATCTACTCATATTCATGTAATTAAGCGTTTTAATGATTTGGCCGATTAATCAAAAAATAATCAACAGATTAATCGATTACTAAAATAATCGTAAGTTGCAGCCCTACTGCCGATGCACCCTGAGTAAAACTGTGATGTTTAGCTCAAAATTTATTGGTTTTAATATCAGCAAAGGTAGCATCACTTCATTTAGATCGTTCAGAAAGTTAAAGAAAATGAAAACACAACTCTTTCTAATCATTCGGTAAGAAAACAAGTCAAATTAATCAAAAATTAATTTGTTAACTAAAAGATTAGTCTGTTTAAGTGACAGATAATTAACTGTTTAAGACTGCCTAACACTTTCAGCATCAAAAAGATAATAAACATGTTTACTTAAATGAAAATCATCGTAATTAAAATTCTAAAAAAAAATACTCCATGCTTGGAGGGGTTACAGATCACTTACATCGTAGTGTTCGCGGAAAAAAATCAGTGGTCTCATGGGAGGTAACTGAGGGGGTCAGATCATCAGCTGAAGACTGGGTCTCCTCCTCATAATCCCCAGACAACAGGTCTTTTGCTATTTCCTCCTGAGGAGCAAAAACAAAAACGTGTTGCACTGTGTTGGACCAAAGGTGGTCAATGTGCTCCTCGCTCATATTTGATTTACTTTAACTGTTTAATGCACACCTATTAAGTAACATTCACATAACAGCAGGTACTTACCTTATCCAATGTCATGTCAGGCAACTCGTCAGTCAGGTCTCCTGAAGAACTGTCTACACTGGAGCCTGCTGAAGCTTCGTAGCGATAAATAGCCAAAAGTTCTTCCAAAGGCATGTTCCCTTCCTGATGAGGGCAAAAGAAAAACACGATGAATCACTCATARATAGCGAAACTGGGAAAGGATTAACAGATTTCTTTTCAATTTATGTTTACACAAGTGTCGAGACATATTAAAAATTAATATAACTTCATAAAAACCTTTTAAAAGCAAAACACGATCAAAAGAATGAAAATCTCTTGCTTCAAATCACTCCTAGCAGTAAAATTCTATGTTACTACCTGTACAACTACACAGGTATTTTCAAAAAGTGACAAGAGATTCTTTAAAGAAAAGTTCACCTTCTCCAGATCTGCTAGTTCAGAATTGAAACTGGCCCCGCCTTCCAAAGACTCCTCTTCTTCTAGAGTCCTCTCGTCATCGTACTCATGAACTAACATTTCCGCGGTTGGGTCAAAATCATGGTCCTCTGACGATAAAGAGCCAACTGATGGAAGAACAGGGAAAAAAATGTCAGTGGTATGAGCTGTCAACATTTAATTATACTGAAATCTAAACATTTCTATCTAAACACAAACACAAAAAACATCCATTCATTTATAATGTCATTCTTTCAATATAAGAACTAGATTTTATTTAATGATGAAGAGCAAACATAGGCAAATTTCTCTGTGTTAAGCAAATGTATTCTGTCTATTAGGAGCTTAAATGGGAGACAAAAATGCTACTTTTCTTACCTGGACTTGAACTTCCTAGAGAAGCCTGGAAAAACAAAAAAGTAAATGTTAAAAACTGGTCTTAATCCACTAAAAATAGTTCAAATAATAATAAAATAATAATATAAAATAAAAAAGGAAGAAAATTGTTGAATACTATAAATATTTCAGCTAGTTTATCAAATATTTTATACAGTCTGAAATATTTTATGACTTTAATAAATTTATAAGACAAATATTGTTTACAGATACTAAGGCATTGTCACAAATTTGTATAAAGATGTAAGATGTGGAAAAGGGATTGTCTTTTAGCCTTTTAAATGTCATTTTTGACAGATCACAAAATCCTTACAACATTGATAGTTTTTGTGTAAAAGTCTGTATTTCACACGTACAAGCAATGATAACACATCAACGATCAACATACAGACTAAACAATTTTTAAAAACGTTAAATTAAAGGTTCACAGATTCTGGTATTACAACGTTGTTGTTAACTGTGGAGTACGAAATAAGTAAAATAATTCAGAAATTATACACTTGAACTGGAGAAGATGACTTTTCTATGCTACCAGTTCAAATTAAATTAGATGAATGTAGAAGGAACGGGACAATTTGTTCAGTGTTGCCTCCTGAGACTGTTTGCTAGCCGGCGAGCTAACCCACAGCCTACATGTTACCGCTGTCCATCGACAAAATGTAAACATTCATTTTCGTCGAACCGCGATTCGATAAACGGAGCCAGATACTGTCTATAAACATGCCGCCGATTTATTCCTAACTGTGAAAATAAATTTCCATTGATTATAAATACGAAATATTCCGTTATTTCCCTTAAGCAGCAAGCTAACGTTAAATTTACGTATCAATTTACAGAGCCGCTACGGCGAAGCAGCTGAGAGCGCAGAGAGGCCTCACAGTGAAGGATCAGTCTGAACATTAAAGCATATTTTAATGAAATAAAGCTCACAGTTATGACCCCAAACACGCTATACGGGCGGGGAAACCCTTAATCTTTCCAATCGATACGATAAAAATTAAAAATTAAACATACAAATCGAAAAAATATCGATTAAAGWGCGATTGCTTCTTCCCTGTTTTCCCTCTTACCTCCGCCATATTGGTACCTTTAGCTAATGAGCTGGGTCTGGCTCAGTAACCGGATGTGAGCTCAGAGCCAATCAGAGATCCAGGTGACGGTTGTAGTCGTGACACGGCTCAAACCCACCGCTGCTCGGTCTTAACGGGAAGAATTCAGAAATGTTTAAATCCACGGAGGAAAATTTAACAAGAGTTACACAAAAAATGTTCAAATATTTACCCTACTCCAAACACGTCCAGCCATGTCGACGACCATAGTCTAATATCTGCAGTTTGCTAGAACACTCCAAGAAAAATGGTCCGAACACATCACCTGATTTTATTTTCTCTTGCAACTTTGCAAAAAAAACTTAAAAATTATTGTTTTTGTGGTGATTTGTCGCTTCTCACTGCGGCTGTAGATAAAAATAGGTAGACATATAGCTTATTGCAAAAATAAAAATGTCTAGATGCAAGTTCTGAAATGTATTTTTAAAACAGTGAAACAGGTTAGTTATCATTCTGGATATGTTGTTGTTATTATTGTTTAGAAAGATCTATTTACTCTAATAGAAGCTCTGAGGCACATGCAGAAAACAAGGTGTTACAAGCCGAGTTGTTGTTTATGTTTTTTAAATTTTCTGCTTATGTTGCCACAACTAAGATTTTTTTAAATAAACTATGTGGATAATGTCCGTTTTTCTTTTTTTGCAAGCCATTTTATCTTTAAATTATTTTTAAGTCAGTGTTGATGAAGAATGCATTTTAAAGCATCAGTTTTGTCTAATAAAGCTACAAATACTATCTAATAGTTTTAAAACCAAACCATCAGATGGTATGATTTTAATTAATTTAATGATTAATTTAATGTATGTCTACGCTACTGAGAGAGTAGGGCTGCAACTAACGATTATTTTAATAATTGATTAATCTGTTGATTATTTTTTCGATTAATCGATTAATTTGCCAAATCATTAAAACACTTAATTACATGAATATGAGTATATATAAATTAAGTTAACTCCTTAAGGATGCAAGTRATTGATAATGAATTAATTTGAAGTTGATTTATCTTATAGATTGATTAACAATTAATTAATAAGCAGCCATTAAAAAAAAAAACCCGAAGTTTTCTCTTGAACCAAGAGGGTCTTCGCATAAAATGAAGGATTTTTTTTATAATCTCCTGAATTAAAAAACAGAAGCACATAATAGCCTACATATTTTAACAATTTATTTTGCCAGCTGTATTAAATACTGACTGAAAAAAGTGTATTTCTCCTACATGAAACAACAGAAATTTAGTTTAATTTAGGTTGCTGAATGAGGAAAATAGATTAAAATAATAAAATATGATTTTTAGATGTAAAACTATTATTAATTTATTATAATTATAATTTATTTACATTTAACATTAATTTTTTTGTCTTTAATTCTTTACTTTTTGTTTCATTCTTGTTGGTTCTGTTTGACTAAAACATTGTTTGACCCTAGGGCTGCCACAAACGATTATTTTTATAATCGATTAATCACCGATTATTTTTTTTGATCAGTCGACTAATCAGATCATACGTTAATTGAATATAAAACATAGAGCTTATCATGTCAGAATGCAGCTGCTATTATATAACCATCATTAGATTTTAGCTATATGCTAACTAAAAATAATTGCTGTGGAAGGTAAGTTCTGCTCTGCAGATATTGCACAGCTTTCTCTTTCATTTTCTTATAATGATCCCACACTTTTGAACTCCGTTGCTGGGTAGCCATGATACCAGAGCCTGTCTGTATAATGTCTTGTGACGTCCACGGCCTACCCCAGTTACCACTACTGTGCATGTGTGTCAAGGACAGAAAGGCAGATGTGGCAGTGCAAGCTGTCAAAGCAGTTTGGAGAGAAAAACAAAGTAAAGAACAAAAAGAAAACGATTAATCGATTATTAAATTAGTCATRGATTATGTTAATAATCGARTAATCGTCGATTAATTGCTTAATCMTTGCAGCTCTATTAGAGAGTTAAGTTTCCTGTCATGTGATTGTATTTGAAAAGCTTCTGGAACTGTGTAATTTAAGGATTCTCCAGTTTGTTCTAAAAGAAAGGTTTTTGAAATAGGATGTAATGGTAACTAGTAATCTTTTCAAAATGTTTTATTTGTTAATAGACCAGCAGGGGGCAAAAGAGRTCCATGACTATATGAATAACCAACTGTTCTCACACGCCTCTTCCCTTGGTTTGAAAGTGCTCATTAAACTTGATTATCATATTTTTCACATGGAAAAAGTCGAGTTAACAGTTTTAGCAGGCGAGGAGATAACAGATGAGCTGCATCTGATGACTTCAGCCTGCTTTTTTTTTTTCATTTGTTTACCTTTCTCACTTTCTGTTACTGCTTTTTAAAATCAAGCTCTTAAAATGGTTTTATGTGGGAGAGGGGTATGGTGAGTTTGAAAGTGTGCTGATGTTTGACCACAGGGTGTCAGGGTTATCTGGGTCTGGGTATGACGCACTAGAACTTAGTGGATATAGTTTCAGTACTACAAAGGAGATGAAGCAGCTGCATTTTTCATTTTGACAGCTTACGCTGCTTCATTTGAGCTTTTCTATTCAGTTTTAATATTTTAAGTGGAGGCTTGGGTGGAATTCCAACAAGATAACTATCAACTGTGAGGTGCATGCTGAAAGATTTATATCCTATGTGTATCTTACTTGTAATTTATGTTGAAATGCATACTCACTTTTAAAAAGGTTCTAAATTTACACATTTGATGGTTTCTGGCCTGCTTTTGTCTTGTGTAAAAGCATCAAACCTGTACTTATTTATACTTTCATATATTTTAAGCACAAAATGACAAAGTTTGCTAAAAAAAAGTGTTAGGCTAAAATRATATTGTGCACAAAAGAGAGCTTTTGATACATTTGTATGGATGATTATGCTGRTTTATCATTTGTAAAGTATTTTAAACGGCAATGTTACTACTTTAAAATGATTTGTTTAAACGTAAAATTATCTACTAAATCAATCTTTATACATCAACAAGTAGACAAATTAATTCCAGTATCTCCAGGCTAGCACCTCCCTAAAAGGTTTAGTAGAACATGAATAATGCTCACTGTTTGCTTCTCTTCTTTCATTTGACTGTGGTTAACTTATTATAATAATGCTCAATTTTGCAGAACAATGCAGCCAGGAAGATGTGGGCCCTTATCTAGCGCACAAAACTGTCGGGTCAACAAGTTATCTATCCTCTGACGTAGGTTGCAGGGAGGCGAGCTACAAAGGGTCACAATCCATTGTTGTGGTGCAAAACGGAAGCGGCTGATTAACACTGGCCCACACCTACACGGGCTTTGCAGCTGCCCACTCAGCTGATGCACCATACAGTGCARTGGAAGAAGAAGAACTCCATATTGATGAGTTATTTTTCAGCCTAAATGAACACATCTGCTCCATGTTCACTGAGCAGGAATTCATGGAAGACTTCACTAAAGGATGATAGTTTGACTGAACCCTGAWGACTTAAAAGAGAAAGTGAGCATGCCTACACATTAGGAGCTGGATATGTTTTCATTCTGAAAAAGGTTTACTTTTTAATGGGACACATGTTGCAGACAGTCGAAATTATTGTCAAATATCAAATAAGACGTGAATAATGTATTAAACTAATCTTAAATTGTGAAATAACACATACATCATCCATCCATCCATTCATTCATCCATCCATCCATCCATCCATCCATCCATCCATCCATCCATCCATCCATCCATCCATCCATCCATCCATCCATCCGTTGCTTGTGAGGCCCTGATTTATCTATCAACAGCCATATTTTCCAGCTCTTCTGGGAGGATTCCAAAGTGTTTCCAGGCCAGCTAAGGTCAACCCCAGAATTAGATCCTGGGGTAGACCCAGGACATGTCTAACATCTTCATCCAAGTTGGACATGCCCGAACAATCTCCTTAGGG